TTATTATTATTATTATTATTATTATTATTATTATTATTATTATTACAAATTGTTTTCTGTTGTCGTTAAATTTCATTTTGAAAATCGTCAGTCCTATTCGTATAGAAACCATGCGATCGGTCAAGTCTTCGTAAGCTGCTTCAGGCGTGCGTACGACTTACTTTCAGGACATTAAAGCCATCTGTTTACTTGACTGCCAATGCACTTGCTTACGAACGAACGGTTCTGTGAGCCAGACAGATAAATAATTATACCTTTAAAACTAGCATTTAGCACGTAATTTCGAAATCCGGACTTCGAATTCCATACAATAGAGTACCTGCGGCACATGTGTGGACATTCCGTGTGTGAGGTGGCTTCTCGCACGGCACGGTGTTCGACGAGCTCTTGTAACGCCGGCGCAGAGAGATCGTAGGCGCGTGTCGCGTGTTCCCCGAAAAGAAAGTTAAGCGTTGTCTCTCTCCAGGCAGGACCCTATCACGCGAATGTTGATTACATATGGCGCACAACGAGCCCAATAACGAATTATGTAAAACATTTTTTGAGGATCCATCATTTAACGAAACCTACATTCAAGTGAAGTTCATATTTGAGAATACAAAGATCTGTGGGATTTCAAGCTCATCAAACCTTCATGGATATTTTCGTCCCGCATGTTTTACAAAACCCACATTCGATGAAATGAATTGGGCGGTAATGACAAAACATATGTAATTTCAATGCTTTATTATTTACATGCTCTTCTTGAAATGTAAATAGTTCATATTTGTGTTTAACGGTTTATAAAAGAATGTGAGATATTGAGTCCAAAGTTTTATTTTCGTAATTTATTTTGAGTATTTTAAGTTGCACATAAAGAAATCATAATTATTTTCACCGTTATTGCAAATTTAGAACTTAAATGCAGTTAATCAATAAACTAAGCATTGTATTGATATCTTTATTTTTTTCTGTGCACCACATTCTTTTTGAAATTGTTTTCCTTGCTGATATTGATTATTTATCTTGTTGCTCCTAGAACGTCATCTTTGG